ACCAAATGGTTTGCTCCTTAGCAGGCATATCGATGATTTCAGGATTTGTTGGCAACTGTTAATAGAAAATGCTTCCACAGAATGAGTTCAAAAAGCTCGTCTAGTGACAGCATATACTAGGCTCCAACTTCTACTGCAACCCAGAGCCGTGGAAGATGGGAAGAAAAATGCTCTACAACAGCACGCACACTTAAAAACGCACATACAGTATATATAAATTACATACCACGATAAATCTCTCAGTTCTCAGAGTTTCAATTTTGCTCTTCCTCTGTCCTTGCCCTTAGCACTTCTATTCTGTCCTTGCTTTTCCCTGTGTCCTTTAATTTGATTGTCTTTCAGTTTTCCAACAGTTTTTTGTGATCCTACGCCCACTACACCCATTTGGCAAAAGCAGTCCTCCTCATTTCTGATGGGCAGAGGTAACACAAACAGATTTCTGAACCACACCCACACTTTCCCACATCGTAGGTAGCATGCCTGTGCTTCACAAGAAAACTAGATGAACTGAGCAGCTTGGGAAGTTTATGTATGGAAGCTTTGCTTCTTCTTTCCCCCATATAGCACATACGCGGTACAAATTTACAACAAGATACACAAGCATACACACATATCCTTTTGTATGTATTAGATATCATGAAGTTAAATTCATATTATTTTTTATAAAAGTGAATAATAACTAATTAAGCCATTGGCCAGACCATTTTAGCATTTGAGAAACACGAAGGGGCAGCCTCATGAGAAAGCGCATTGGAATACGCTTGGATATAGAGGAGGATAGAGCTCCATCTGTGGAATAAAAGGAGTCATAAGAAATTCAGACAGCAAGGAAATGAGCCTACAGAAAAAGGCTAGGCAAGACTATTTCAGGATGAAAGATGGTATTTACATTGAACTGTAAACTTAAACATAAACTACCATTCTCTGAAACTACAGGAAGGGCGCATATGTTTAGAAACAGTGCTCCATTTCAGGGGAGCCGTATCTGATAATGCTGTCATGTACAGAACTGGCATAATTAAATATTAAATTCAGTCAGTTCCAGAATGCTGGAGGGGAAAAGCCTTAAACCCCAAAACATAAAAATAAAATAATGTAGTTTGCTATTGTACATATTTTCATGGTCTCCCTTTTATCTTCAGTATTTACCAGAGGCGATTACATCCTCAGACCGAAAGGAACTTTAAAAAACAAAGTTATTGCCAAGTCCTGTGCTATTAGTCACTTTTTTGTCATTGTAATACATACATTTAATTCAACACATGCATGTTAGGGACTCTGTGACTTATATCATCTTCGCTTTTACAAAGAGAATAAGGACTTTTTTTGGAATGTACATAGAATATCATGGTAAAAACATGTACTTTGTTGGGAACAACTGGCTTGGGAGGCATCAGTCACCTTTATACTTTCCCTGTTGATGCATGCAAGACAATCTTGAGGCTGACATGTTTCTCAGATGAGATGCATGTAAGGCAAGGATGATGGCTGCCTCATTGACTAGAATATTCTGTAACATGCTTTCATGAGGCAAATGCCTCAAGTACAAAGTGGAGAGATATGCTGTATTTAATGTGAACCACCCATTAATTCAGTAAACTAAGAGAAACCATACTCTTAGCACAGTTGTATTCATGAACATATCAACGAATGGGAGAGGAAAAGAGAAAGATCTATCAGTGTTTTCTACACAACCTCCATGTTTGCTCTAGAATGAAAATCAGAATTATTCCTACCTTCATAATGAGTGTCTTCTTCCTTTTCATCATTTACTTACCTGATCTTTCCTGTTTAATTGCTGTGCTTCAGCAGATCTTTACAAGCATTATCTCTAAAACTTTTAATATCATATACTAACACACAACCATTGCAAGAGCAGTGATTCAAAAAGAATGTGAAATCAACAGCGAGTGTAAATTAATGAAGCACTTTATCAATTTTTCCACTAAAAAGATTTTCTCAGTTCAAACCCCAAGGCATGAAATTCAAGTTTGACACTGCCACAGTTGGATTAAATTTTTCAGATGGTTGACTTGAAAAGAGAGATCTGATCTATACAGTCAGACAGACATGTAAGTCTGCAGTTAATTGAGCAAGTGTGAAGAGATGAGAGAGTAGCTTATTCTTTCATGAATGTTATACAAATCTAACATAAAGTAATAATTTTCAGAAATGCAAGGGTCCAAAATTTCCACAGAAATTTTCATAAGAGTTTTCTTTCAAATAATTGATATGGAAAAATCAAATTCTGAGAAAAACTGCGAAGAAACTCATGTGAAATATTTTTTTCTTAAAAGGCTAAGTGAAGAAAGAAAAAATTTCATGTAAATTTTTTAAAATATTGTCATCACATCTCAAGCCTTTAAAATACTTTAAGTACTTCAAATAAATTTATTCTGCTTTAAAACTGATACTACAAGACATAAATGAATCCTATGTACTGTATCCTAATAATCAATATTTGACTTTTGTAGCAATATTATCAAGGCTCCTGGTTAGTAAAGGATGTTTTCTTCTTTGCTAGAGAACAGGCGTGAGGAGAGGGCTCTGTCCTGTGTACTACCTTCTCTTCAGGAAATGGGGGTTGTCGTGGAGACAATTTGATGGCAGAAAAGAGAAAATTGTGGATGCAGACATAGAGAAACGAAATGTACTTTAAATGACAAACAGCTACCAATTTCTCCCCCATCGTTTTGAGAGAACAAGGGAGATGGAAGGGAGAGGGGAAGGTTAAGGGGATATTCCTCTTTGCCTTCAAATTTACAGAAAATTTATATTCCTAGTCCATATCAAGAATCATCTATTCTGAGCTGATAAATATCTGTTACTAGTTAGGTCACCATGCATGGCAGCAATCTTGGCAGCAGATCTCAACATGCTTAAAACCTTCAGGAGGAACATTATCTTCAGGAGGAACATTATCTCTGAGCAAATTCTTTACTAACCAGAATCGAAAAAGCATACATGTAATTGGCTACAGTGCAAACTGCTTTGAAAAAGAATCCGACTGAAAACATTTCCTCCATGAAGTCAATGACAAATGATATGAGAGGCATTTCCTGTTCTCTCGTACACATTAAGAGTTTTGCATAGAAACTCAATTACATGCCCTGGAAAGTTCTCCCCACGACATCATGAAACAATGACACGATGATTAGAAGAAGAAGATCACAAACTACACATAAACACACAAGAAACACCCTCATGCAGAGACTACGCAAGCAAGGGGGAAGGAGCACACCCAGGTTTCACAAAGCACACGGGAGCGAGATGTGAGAGTGACTGTCGGAAACTCTTCTATTGGCAAGAAAAGTTGATTCTCACCGTTCTGAACAAAATGGCTGAACTAAGAGCATCTGACTGGTTATGCCCAAATACCCTCCTCCTCATCCTAGCGGTGCAGAGGTGGCAATGGGAGAAAAGCCCCAGAGCAGCATGGGAATGAAATAAAGAGTTGGTTAGTATTTAAAGCACATATGTAAGTACAAATAGTAGTAAAAAGTGTTTAATTCCTTATGTAACATTCTGAGCCACTTTGAGGTACAGCTTGGTTTGCTCTCTTGCAGGCTTTGTCAGTTTTTAAAATGCCCCTATGTAAAGGGAAAGTGCAATCAGACCCTTCTCCTGCCCTCTCCTCCCTACTGCCCTCCCCTCTAAGGTCTTTGCAAGAACTTCCTTAAATGTTTAAATTTTATCTTTTCTTTACGTTTCATCTTTTCATTTCATCTGTGAATGCTATGCTGCATTCATTTGCAAGCATGTACTAAAGTTACATTCTGGCTTCATTTCACTATAGACTCACAGTGTAGAAACAACAGATATTCTAACATTTCCTCCAAATTAAGATTAAGAAAGCCATTTAATTGCAGTATTAACAATTGCACTCTCCCAAAGAAGGTAAGACCAACATTTTCCAAAAACATTGCAGAAAATTCAAGCTAGTCAATTTACAGTTCTTTATTTATCATCTGGCGGAAGGTATTAGAACAAGATGCAAAAGGAAGTTGCATCTCTGAAAATAAGAAATTTTCTGCTTTGTATATACCCCTTATTGTCTTCTGATACAGACATGAAAGGAGATTTTTAAAGATCTATTTTTGCCAGATGAGTATGTAATTGTTTTTTGCCATTTTCCTCTTGTACCTTACTCATACTTTCTGCATATCACTAGGTTGGTGCTTAAAGGCCTACATTGAGATGCCTTCCTTCAAATCTCAACAATTTCTAGATGAGCCAGAGGGCAAAGAGGAGTGCCAAACATTCCTTCACTTTGTCAAGGCAGTGATTAATGATCACTAATATTTTAATTAAACTAGAATGGATGAGATTACGACATGGGATATGCAATTATGTTGGCATTTTCTGTGCTACCCAAGGGATAGGTAATCTCTCTGATAGTTATCAAGCACATGGCTGTGCTTTGTAAATGACACAGGAGGCTCCTCACTGCCTTGGAGATGGTAAATTGATTTTCCTTCAGTTCACGGCCCATTGAGTTTGTGAGGGAGCAGTCTGTGCTCATTTGGCACAGAGGCCAGGATTTCCTCATGGGAAATGAAGGGAACTGCTCATATGCAATCCATAGATCAGAAAGCTGATCCTGGAGCATGATTTCCTGCTACTGAAGACAAGAAACAGTCCTGGACACTCCACACACTCAAGCAGTAAACCTGAGTTACTAAAATCTGAATATATGCCAGGCAGGACTCCAGTCTTACATTTTAAGAGAGTAACATTTCTTTCTTCCCTCTCATTGTCTGCCCCCCTCTTCTCCACCCACATAATAACAGCTTGGTACCGGGAACTGTTTGTTCACATTTCAGGAGTTTTCAACAAAGACGACACAACAGCAACATCCATTTCTGGTTTATAACTGCACTCTGGAATGCTATTTTTGTTCCAAGGTACTGCAAGCATGTCAGGGAAAATTACATACGACTCAAATTAATCAGCCCCCATAGTAAAAATTATTTTTAAAGTGAAAAAGAGAGACACATTACCTGGTCAGGGGAGGGCTTGTGATTGGTTTGGTTGGAATGGGATGAGGATTTGAGGTGGTCATCCTCATAGTTGTCAGCCATCAGCTTCATACGGTTCTGAGTCTATTAAAAAAAAAAAAGAAGAATCTCAGTCTACCTTCTAATGTGATCATAGGGACTAAAGGGAATATGGTATTTATGCTATCCTGTATATCCAAAATCCATGCATGGAAAAAAATAAGACACATGCATAAAACATTAGTCGGTATTACTGTAGAGAATTGGTAAAAACTGGGAGACACATTCCAACCACTTCACTTTGAGGCTAAATTAGTTTTTCAATTAAGCGGCTCATCTGACTTGTTCCTACTAAAACTTGTGCCGTACATGTGTGTACAAAGAAACTAATTTCTTCTTACAGACCCTTGGGATTAAGGTTCAAACACCAATTTGGAGAAAAATTCAATGAAAACATCAGTTAGATGTCCCTAAGTCTGTTAAAAAAAAAAAACAAACCAAAAAAGAAATCAGTTTTTAAGAAAAGAGTAAACAAGCTGAAAATAGGTTATTACTTAAGAAGTCCACCCAGTTTCAATATGCAAATCAGTTTTCAACTGATATACTAAAGAGTAGGAAAATTCTGAGACTGGTCAGAAAAATGTGAATTATAGAAAAGCCTTCCTGAGAGGAAATTAAAAAGTTAATAAATAAGTCTTTGGGAAGAAAAGGTGACATAATAAAGATTTATAAAATTAAAAACTGCATACAGTCAGGCAAAGAATTAACAAAATATGAAACAAGTTTCTTAGCTTTTCTTCAACTTCTCAGGAAATTTCAAGTTCCAGAGGATACATAATTTTTAAAAACACAAAATATAAAATAAATTGTGTAAGAATAAATGGAATACCTTACCTTAACACTACCATTATAGGTAAGCAATTGCAGTGAACATTAAAATATACTACATGACTGTGTCTGCAAAGGACAGTGTTAGTGAGATAAAGCCCTTTTAACATAGTATCCTGAAATGAGGTCCCCAAGCACCTACAAACACACACACAAACAATGAAAGAAATACACCTGGGCAAAATGTCCCACCTCCCCAGCAGGGCTTACAAAGACCATTCAGGAAGCAATGACACTCTAGGAGTAGCCTAGAGGGGACTACGAAAGAGCTGGGTCTAGGGTCTTGCAAAGTGAACTGCTGTCCCTATGTCAGCTGCTTCACTTCAAGTTATTTAGGTGCCACTGTCATTGGGCACTCACACCTGGAGCAGACCCAAAATGGAGTGACGGTATTTCTCCTCCCAGCTCCTAAGGTAGACAAAGCCCCATTTTGAGCTTTGTGAAATCCTTGTATTCCAAAAAAATAAAAAAGCTAGCCAGACCTATGTTAGATACGATACACAGTAAATTATGTACAGCTAGACATATTAAATCATCAGAGATGCACTAAAGTTAAATGTCTTAAATGAAAGCTCAAAGCTCGCTGTAAAAATGCCAGCTGTTGATTCAATCCCTTCGTAACTGCATGGTTTCTCACTGAAAACTCTAGTTTTAATGAGCATCTCGAGGCTAGAGAATGCAGGTTCTACTTGACTGTACTCAGATCATTATAGAGAAGGTCCAGGGTTTGAATCTGGATTTGATTTTATTTTGGATTAATTTAACAAAAGCGAATAGTAAATTGAGCTTAAGCAATAAGCAATTTAATCATACAAAATCTTTATATTGTTTACTCTGTTTTATCAAACAAGTTTTGAATTCCAAGTCTGACTCATCATTCATAAATCACTACTTGAAACATGCCACATTAATGCTTAAACAACTAGTTTATTGTAAAGGCGCTTTCTCCATATTTATTACTTTATTATATTTAAGGCTGGCTTTTTAACAATTTCTTCTTTGAAATGAGAGCTACTGATTTTAAATGATTTCACATTTCTTTGGAAATTTTTGATTTTGATAATAAATGATAACTTCTTACATGATTTTCAGCGTGTATGTGGAAAAAATCTACTAAAAAGCAGGAATTCAGCAGAACGTTAGTACAGCACATTAACTTTTCTGAGAGAAAAGTAGTTCTTCCCAGAGAAAGGCAGCATGTTTTATGATATTGCATGAAGAAAACTATGTTAGCGCTAATACAGGAAGAGAAGAATATAAAGATCTAAACATTTAAAGCACAGTATCCCTCACAGAAAATTCTGAAGTGGAATTGAAGAGGTTGCGTACTTCCATCACTTACTTCAAGTAGAATAACCTAATATTAATACTTGGCAGGAGGTATGAGAAGAGGCTGAGAGAACTGGGCTGGTTTAGCCTGAAAAAGAGGAGGCTTCTTTCATTACTTGATAGGAGGAAATAAAGAAGATGAAGCCACGCTATTTCTGGAGGGGACAGGACAAGAGACGACGGATGTAAATCAGAACACAGAAGATTCTCGTTAGAGATCAGGAAAATTCATTTCATAATGAGGCTGATCAAACACCAGAACAGGCTGCCAAGAGGCTGTGGCATCTTCATCCTTGCAAATACTGAAAATGCAACTGGACAAGGCCTTAAGCAAGCTGCTCTAGTTAGAGATGCTGTCAGCAGGTGGTTGGACGCAGAGGTCCACTCCAATCTAAAAAAATGCTGCAATTATTATTCGGGCTGTTCGTCCTCAGATAGTTTTATAGCTATCAAGGCTGGAGTTTTCAAAAGAAGAGGGACCTAAGTTCCAAAATTCCTCCTAGTTGCTAAATATTATTTAGCTGCTTAGCTCCATTACAGCCCTTTGAACGTTTTAACCCAGAACAATCCCTGCAGCATCCCGATGATAACAATCATACAGGATCAGTTAATCTAGAAAGACATTTTCTATGTTCCCCCTTTAATCCAAGCTGACTGTCCACTGCTTCTGCTGTTCATCTAAGAGTGCATGTTTGTGATATACAAGTCTTGGCAAGAAAACACCAAAATCAGTACTGTGATTTCACTACAGGAACACATATAATGTTGGAATTAGGCAAAAATCAAGAGAAGGAAGAAAAGCAGTTTATTTTCTGACAGATACCACTAAAAATTATTTTCCAACATTAAAATTCGAAGCAGTGTTGCAAATATATAATACAATATAATATAATAATATTTTTCTAATTCTCTATGTCAAACATGGAAATAAAAAGCTTCCGCTTAGGACTGGAATACTAACTGATGAACTTCTAATTGCGAATTTTTAAAATAACTGGAAATAGATGAACTTAGTTTCTCTCCTATTGCTCCTCTCCAGAAAAAAATGTTCAAAAGGATGGAAATTTCTAGAGCATATGGCTGGTGCAATGATTTAAAAACAAACCGTTTACTTTACTGTGGGGAACCACTCCAACATCCTGCAGTCCTGAACTGCTTTGTCATGGTGCTATTACACAATCCGCTCCCACCTTATGAGGTTATGGCTCCCGACCCAACGCAAACAATTTTAAACACCCCTGCAAATTTTTTACATTTCTACATCACTGTGAAAAGTATGAACAACAAAGTGGTTTAACCACTGTGTCCTGTGAGAAAATAAATGAGCAGTGCAGACAAATCGGTTGCGTCGGGAGTGCTTTTGTCTAAAACCTCCAGAACTTGTAAGCAGAACTAGTGATGATAAGAACCGGATGTCAGATCCAAACTTTGCTTAAAAAATACCATGCACCATTACAGGTACCTTCTTCATGCATGTGCAGATAAAATACTAGAATGAAAAAAAAAGGACAAAACTCCACAACTCAACAGGTTTCTTGATTTTTTTCCAGAAGGTTTCTTTTTTTTTTTTGACAGAACAGATTTTGTAACCTTATTCTTTCCCCTCCAATCACACACCCCGCCAAAAACCCCACACGTTGTCAAAGCCGTTAACAACGCTCTTTAGTCTCCCAATAATCACTGAGCAAAAGAACAGTCCGAAACCCTTTAGACTAGTGTCAATCCTCAAAATTACTAAAGACCCATCACAGACTCTCAAGCTCCTAACTGAAAGCCAGGAATGACTGTGGAGAACTTGCCACAAGAGGTCTGCAGACCAGAGTCTGTGAACCGCAAGTCTAAAGCGTAACATTTGCAAGGGTATTGTATCTAAAAAAACTCCAACTTCCTCCAGTTATGTATTAGACTATACTCTAGTACTATCAGATCTTGCCCACCCTCCCTTCCCCCCCCCCCCCCCCAGAACTTCTGCAATTGTCCTTTTGCCTCTCTCATACACTTATTCTTAACGCCCTTCTTGCTTCTCGTCATTATTTAACCTTGGCCTCTGCCCTATCCCTTGCTACAGCAGGCAGTTACATTAAAAGAAAAAAGCACCAGGAGAAAATATGAGATAAACTCATTTTAATCATAAATGTGGTCAGCATCAGCACTTCTTTTAAACGTGCTCTCTTTTCTTTTGTTGTTTCGTAGTCCTGCAGGGATTTCACTATATTTTCACCATGCTTTTTCTGGTTATCATATAGTTTACTTCTGCCTGTATTCTATAATCACTAAATGTTTGGCTAAACAAGGAAATTACCATGGAGTAGACTATTTCTAACGCAGCCAACACCTGAAAACTTTCATTCCAAACAGTACTTGTATAATATTTTAGCTACCAACATTGTAGCCATGGTGAATTTTGTTTAAGAATCACTAAGTTCCTCCTTCACGGATGTACTGCTTCAAAGCACACTTTCACCTGAAGGTTCCTAAGAGTAAGTTGTTTTATGTTCACTGCAGGCTACACTGGTAGCTTGTTTGTGCACCTCCACTCTAAAGACCAAATTAATAGATTTTATCACAGTTAAATTATTACATGAGAAAAAACAGAACTGATGCTGATCCACAAAGTGTAGGGGAAAGTCAGAGACATGTTCTGGAACATTGCTGGTAAAAGTTAGAGGAGTCCTGCCCAGGTCTGACAAGATCTTCATAGTGGAAATCCATATGTAAATTTGAAGCCCTCAGATTTAACTACAGACATTGTTTATAATATATATTTTAGAGAATGTTTATATTTGAAGGCTTGCACTAAGTTGTATGTTATAATGAGAATACATACCTTTCTTAAGCACTTCTATAGGATAGCTAGTCTTCTGGTAACCATTACCCTGGCAAGTTTT